GTTACATTATAACGCCCTAACCACCTGGCCATGCTGGGCCTAGTAGTAATAATATTAATAATAATAAATAGTAGTAATAATAATAAATCCAGACATTATCCTGATTTTACCATTACAACTGGAATGAGAAAAAAAACTTTGAGGACAACATTACGATAATAAAAGCCTTTGATCTCAATCTTAGAGCTAAAATATAAATATTTATTTCAAGTTAGTTTCAAACATGAAGTATGTGAGTTATAAATTTGATTTACAAAGAATCGTAATTGTTTGTCCTCAGATAGCCCAATAATAAATCGATGAGGCTAAATTTATACAACGCTAGAAACCGGGTTTCGATACCCGTGGCGGGTAGAGCGCAAATAGCCAATTGTGTAGCTTTGTGCCTACCTTCAAACAATCATGGCCCGGCATGGCCAGGTGGTTAGGGCGCTCGACTCGCAATCTGCGGATCGCGGGCTCGAATCCTCGTCACACTAAGCATGCTCGTCCTCTCAGCCGTGGAGGCGTTATATAGTGACGGTCAATCCCACTATTAGTTTGTTAAAGAGTTGGCGGTGGATGGTGATGACTATCTGCCTTGAAAACAAACAATCAATTGCAAAATTGTTACTTTGAGCAGCGTTTAATGTAAATTTTCATTGGCATTAATGATGTAATAACTATAATTATTTCGCTTTCTAAACAGTTGTTTGTATGTTTAGAATTTTTTCGCATAGTTGTCCATATGATAAAAATGATAGACTAAGAAGAAAACAGCTACTCACTACCGCCAACTCTTGTGCTACGCTTGTCTGACCAAATAATGGAATTTGAATATCACTCTTACGGTGCACCTACGGCACCAAAGTTGCGTCAATGGAGCGCAAACCAATCCGGGTACGTTGACAAGCAGGCTACATAGGACTCTTTAAAAAAATCAATTACTAGGTCATTTACAAGTAAAAAAAGAAAAGTTTTTTTCAAAAAAGGAAGTAAATATAGGAATGGCTAATATCAATCCTTGAAAAACAATGCGAACAAGATATTAGGAATGATATTTGCATCATCCCTACATAATAGCACAGGCACACAGTGTAGTAGAATGTTAACTGACACAAATAGGAAAATTAAATTCAATTGTGATTGAATAGTTATGTATATATATTGCTATATGTTAATTCTTTCCTGTGCTGTTATGAGGTTCCAATTGTAATATTTATTGTTTATCGATTATTGGCTGGTAATTTCTGTTTCACCCTGTATTTAAGCTTTTTAAAGGAACACCAAATTTCTGTAATAAAGCTGACTTCAAGGGGTAATGATAACATCGTTTATACTAGAATTGTGATTTTTTTAATTACAACTAGTTATTAATAATACTTACAAAAACATATATTCTGTTGGAAACTATGTCACCTCAGTGAAATTGGCTGACACCATTGTTTTGGTTTTTGAGTCATCATACAATAAAAAAGAAGCAGAGGAAAGGAGAACGATAAATTCAAAATTTTTGCTACGATACTTACAGACATTTCCAGAACTTGTGACCCAGTGTTTACATAGATATTGTTGTAAAAGAAAACACTGTATAGTATTGTGAAGTTCTGATGACCTATTGAGGAGAATTTAAAATACCATTTCTCTGAACAGTCTTAGCCGTTTCTACGTAGGCAGTGCTACTGCCTGCCTGATAATGACGCCTCCTAATTTAATATGTTTGCTTTATTTAAATGAGAAATTAAGAAACAAAAGCCGAACATATTTCTAGATTATTGGAGCATTATAGTTTTGGTATAATTTGGTCTGAAGTTTTAAAATTAGTCACACAATTTAATATGGTACTAAGATAATACATTGTGATGAATAATACAATTTATTTAATTATTTATTTCACTTTGTTTTAAAACTGTAGGTGTCACTACTGAAAAGAAAACAAAGTGTAATTTTTTGTTGAACGTTTATATACAGGAAATATAGTGTAACATTTTCTAGCTTGCATGTGTTTTAAAATGTTCTTTCGGAAACTGGGTGGCATTCATAACAGTATGAACATTTATCGCAAATATTTAATACGAGGTTTACCGGTAAGTAAAGTACTAAATAGGCATACCCTACCTATCGTACATGAATCCTGTGGAGTAGGCTTGCGATAATATATACAAGAGTAACTTCTTTAAAGTTTAATTTCTACTCTGAGAATTATGGTTAGTCGTATGTAGTCTATCTAAGCTGACTTTGTATAATGACAGTAACAACTTGCTGAAAATCAGGACGGTCAGGGAAGTACAAGATACAATTATTTAATTTTTGCGTAGTAAAGTATAACTTTGTATATACTTTTTAGGACTGCGGAGTTTGTGGAACTGAAAATGGTAGAAGAAATGATAAAAATTAAAGCATTAAGAAAAGAAAAACTAAATTACAAATTTGTTAGCTAAGGGGTGTGGTTACTAGTGTTAGTATTAGAAATTAATAATAACCCGAGCTGTTTGCCCCTGAAGAAGAAAGGTTACTGTTACTAGTGTTACTGTTATTTATTATTGCCAGAGTTCACTTATAATGTGGTTACTATTAGAAATTAATAATAACCCGAGCTGTTTGCCCCTGAAGAAGAAAGGTTACTGTTACTAGTGTTACTGTTATTTATTATTGTCAAAGTTCACTTGTATTATGTTTACTTCCTGTATTTCTGTTAATAATAATAGTAGTGATTAGTACTAACTTGGGTTGTCTTACTTGTACATACTGATTAGTTGTTTATTTTTCTATCACTTAATTATACAACAAACTAAGAAGGAAGTTAAAGAAATCTCAAGTTACTGGAAACTAATTTATCTAAAATCTTAGAGGAAAAAAAAGACTTCAAACCTTATGTTTAAAATAATTTATTTTATTCTTTGAAACTGAGTGTGAGACATGTTCACTCACTGCACAGACAAATTACTTACAATAACATTGTAATGGGGAGATAGGGAATTTTTACAGTTTTGGGGTTAATAACTCTCTAAAGTGTGAATGGATTTGTATTATATTTCATGGGCACATTAAGGTTGAGACATCTCATCACATTACAAAAAATGATCTGGATCATTGATCATTCTGGATCTGAGAAAGATTATCTGAGTTTTCAAATGTGAAATTTGACGTTATCCAATATAAACACATGAAATCTCGGAAAGGAGTGGCAGAGCAAAGGTATGCGATCTCTCTGATTGCTTTTGTTAAATATTGTATGTCTTGGTGAAAAGTAATAATTCATCACATATACTTTTTTCTTCATTATTAAACAAACATTTGGACTTTTGTTATGTTTCAGAGTTTCAATAATGGTTTCTATATTGTTACGAACTTCTAAACTTTTAAAGAATAGTGAAACCATTATGTTGCTCAGCAGTAAGTCTGAGGAGTTATAACTCTTAAAAACTGGAGAACAGCTAAACCATTGTGTAGGTTGTGTTGGTTAATGTATTATTATACAGGTATACTTGAGTGTAAATTAAAGAAACAATACAATCTGTTTTTAATGATTAAAATAAAATAAGGACAAAGTGGAAATACTATATTATGTAATTACTAAAGAGAAAATACTGTTTGTTTAGCCTTTTATTTTCAAACATAGTTTGTAAATTCTTCCGCAACAGCTAACACTTGTTTTTATTCTCCATTAGCATTTGTGATATTTACCGTCATAAGCATGTAACTAATAATAAACTTCACATCACATCACAGGTTCTTCATAGTTCTTTGCGTTGTAGTGGAGAAAGCCATCCAAAGATTGTAGTCAGATGGATTCATCAGGCAGCCAAGTCAAAGAAGATTAAGGATGTTGGACCCATGGGATTTTTCTTGCTGGTTAGAAAACTGTAATGTTATCTACACAATTTTATTGCATCACAGTATTTACAAGTTTGTAAATATACACGTAAATCAAACTGGTATTGTAACACATAACGTATGGGCAACAGGTGACCATCTGTTTCTTTAAGAGTGTCCTTGCACACCCTCCCCAGAGGAAAGTAAAAACTTTTAAATCAATCTTTTAGAGGAATTACTCAATTTCCATTTTAAACTCCCATAAAGTATTTGCCGATACAACTACTGATGGTAATGTATTACATAAGCTATAACCCTGTTAGAAAAAGTAACTGTCTTAACTGGAACCTAGCCTGTCTCTTCCAAATCTCAGACTTGTGTTCTATTGTTTTTAGGATACAGCACAAAGAAATCGGATCTCTTTGTCGTACCAGTCTGTCAGATAATCTTGTAAACTTTAATAAGTTCAACTATTAATCGTTTTCTTAATAGAAAATTTAAGAGCTCCTAACCTATCCTGATGAGACAACATTTCTATCTTTGGAGTGATCCTAGTTATCCTTTCCAGTAATTTAATATCCTATCTCAGATGAGACCAGAACTGTACATAATACTCCAACTGAAGTGATTTGTAATCATTATGTCGGTAACAACATCTTGGAGTTTTATTACTTTTACTACTAACAACAGAGCATTGGCTTGAGTGACTTGTCCAATGCACTGCCAAAACTTGTCTTTTTTTTCAGTTACACTTGGAGTTTTATTACTTTTACTACTAACAACAGAGCATTGGCTTGAGTGACTTGTCCAATGCACTGCCAAAATCTTTTTTTTCAGTTACACTAATAAGTGGGTTCTCATCTATAGTAAGTATGTTACCGTATTATAACCCAAATGCATTACCCTACACTTTCTATACTTAGAAGCCATTTGCTATGCATTTATCCAACTTAATGGTCCATCCAAGTCATTCTGTAGTACTCAAACATAGTTAGAACTATCCAAGAGTATGATGTCATTGATGAACTTTCTAATTTTACCACTTTCAATATTCATGTATAAGGAAACGCAAAGCCCAAGCACTGACCACCAAGACACTCCACTAGCAACAAAGGTCTAGTTCGACTGGACTCTATTAATAACAACTTTTTGCTCTCTCTCCGTCAGCCATTCTAAAATCCAATCAACTAGTTTTTTTCCCGATCCCCTACCTGATATGTTTTTTTTGTTAGTTTTCTGTGCACCTTATCAAAAACCTTCTGAAAGTCTAAGTACACCAAATCTACGTCCTTTACATCATCCAGATAACAAGTAATATCAATAAAACGTCGAGAGGTTTTTCCGAGGCAAAATGTCCTTTTAGTAAATCTGTTCTTGCTGTCTTAAATGGTATTTTAGCTGATGTACCCATTCAATTCACAGGGAAGGTAAAGGGGGGGGTTAGATCTGAATGCCATCCTTCTCCTTAAATTGGATTTAAAATTTTCACTTTTATTTTCCTTGGGGTAATTGTAAAAGGACAGCCTTGGAGGACTAAACAGTTCTTTGTTGTGCATATCTTATATTACACCTAGTCAAGATTTATTGAAGAATGATAAAGAGGCTGTTTCCTATTGGAAAACTATTAGAGAGTCTTGATAAAATTTTTATCATATTTAGTTCAATCAAAATAGTTTTAAAGAAGTGTAATATTTCCAACATTGTGCTTTTCAATCAAAAGTCTTCCTGAATACACGAACAGGGAAATTGAATTACCAGTAAATGAAAAATGACAAGTTAACAGATTGTAAAATTTACTAGTAAAATGGAGAGTGATGAGTTGATAAAAAATAAGGAAAGATAAAGTGGACTTTTAAATTCTCCTGCCTTTGAAACAATATTTCTGATATGAAGGGTTCTTATGCCTTAGTAAACAGTAAAAAAATGTTGAGGATAATTTTTGGTTCTTTAAGAGATTCCATTAGAACTTTTCTTATGAAGGATAGAATCTGGATTGATAACTAACCAACTTTACTGATGTTAAATTCTGACAGTGAAGAAGAGATTATTAAATTTATCAATAACTTTGAAGACGAAGGACCTTGGCTTATTTCTGTTTTTTAAGAAAAACTTGTTTTGAATTTCATAGATTTCCTAACCCTAATAAATTTTATATGAAGGCTGTTCAACAAACATTAACAAAAAAGATGGTGTGGATGGGCTTTAACTGATTCTGGAATTTCTTACCACTAGAGGAGTATTATATTAATCATGTCATGATTGAAAGAGTATAACGTGTAGGAATCTGATCTTTTTGGAAAGAGTACCTATGGAGAGCTGGGCTGTATATATTAGAAACATGGAAATTATTAATTTGTAGAAACATGGAAATTATTAATGTGTTACATATAAGTGACTTACTGGAATTAAAATTTTATGTTAAAATAAACTTATGGTGAAATGCTTTTAATGCTATATATATAAACTTTAACATGTACTTCATAATGAGCATACTGGCCCGGATAAACTCAACGAGGAGGCTGAATGCCACTGCAGGCCGCTAGTTGGACCATGCTGATTTATGTTGCATGGTATCTATTCTAGCCATTTCAAAAAGTGTGTAAAGATAAAGCAAATATTTAAATAAAGCCGTTTCCATTTATGTGTGGACTAAATTATCAAAATCTCAATATGTTTATTAGAAACATATGGTAAATTAAATGTGCTCTCATCAAAGCTTCATATTGCTGTTTGTGGCCAGCAAGTAAACAAATGACACGTACTATAGACCTTTGTTAGATTATCCAATAATAAAAAAGCCAATTGTAGTCTGCATTAATGTGGCACACCAGTGAGCTGCACAATAACTGTAGTCTGCTACAGTGTGGCACACCAGTGAGCTACACAATAACTGTAGTCTGCTACAGTGTGGCACACCGGTGAACTGCTCAATAACTGTAGTCTGCTACAGTGTGGCACACCGGTGAGCTGCACAATAACCAATAGTCTGCTACAGTGTGACACACCGGTGAGCTGCACAATAACCAATAGTCTGCTACAGTGTGGCACACCGGTGAGCTGCACAATAACCATAGTCTGCTACAGTGTGGCACACCGGTGAGCTGCACAATAACCATAGTCTGCTACAGTGTGGCGCACATGTGAGCTGCTCAATAACCGTAGTCTGCTACAGTGTGGCACATTGGTGAGCTGCACAACAACCGTAGTTTTCTACAGTGTGGCACATTGGTGAGCTGCACAACAACCGTAGTTTTCTACAGTGTGGCACACCGGTGAGCTTCTCAATGACTGTAGTCTGCTACAGTGTGGCATTAAGTTTTATATGTCACTTTGCATAGGTTATTCTCATTTTACATATATGTTTTTTTACAAAAGAAAATTGCATTCTCATATTTCGTTTGCATTCTTTGCTCTTCCATGCTATAGTATTTTTATGAATATTGATTTTTTTTTTGTAGCTAGTACCACAATTCTTTTTAAGGCACATTATGCTGGTATATTAAGAGTAAACTTATAAAATTTTGGTCTGATGATGGTAACATCTTTACCAAAACCGGTTGGCTGTAAGTTACATTAAATAATTTTACTTATTATTGTGCAAAAAAAATGACATTTTGTGTAAATGTTACCCTTAATAGCTAGTACCAGTAACAACTTTTGGCCTCGGGACATGGCAAGTTCAGCGAAGAAAGTGGAAGATCGGGCTTATTAAAGAACTGGAAGAAATAACTACAGCATTGCCTATTGATCTTCCTCAAAAGTAAACATGCAACTTATGTGATTCTACTGTTTAGGTTTTATTTTCATTGAGTACTTGGAGAGGAGACCGTTGGTTTGTTTAGTATAAATGAAACTATTAAAGTGATGATATGATATTTGTTTATTAAAGTTATGTTTATTACTTCACTATGATTGTTACAAACTGTCTGTTTATCAGTTTCAAATTTTATTGTACTTTTTTTTATTTTTCTACTTTTACCACAGATACGACTTCCATTTTAAAAATTTAATCTTTAGTAGGTGTTATAATAGACATTCAACAAATTAATCTTTAGTAGGTGTTATAATAGACATTCAACCAATTAATCTTTAGTAGGTGTTATAATGGACATTCAACAAATTAATCTTTAGTAGGTGTTATAATAGACATTCAAAAAATTAATCTTTAGTAGGTGTTATAATAGACATTCAACAACGTCTGAAGAAAAAACTATTAATGGTCAGTTGTTGCTTTTTGTAAGATTATATGGTTAAGTATAAAAATTACACTTGTTGACCCCTTTACAGTTATCGGTTACCACATCTATGAATTATAGAACTCTTTGGGATGAATGTCTTTTGTAGTTGGAATGTGGGTAGATTAAACTGGGATTAATAATTAGTTGATAAATCTCTTATTACTCTTGGTGTTTGTTTTTGTTACTAATCTTCTGTGAGTCTTGAAACGGTATATAAATTTTATTCTTTACTTTAAAATAATTGTTTTTGTACAGTCTATCATCTTAATATCACGGTGGCCCATAGATTTTATTGTGAATATTTTTGTGTGTCTACTGGTAATCAATCAAGATTTTTCAATCAAAATTCTTTATCAACGTACTTTTTCTCTCTGTACTCTAGTTTGGTTTTCTATAGAACACACATTATGTCATCTATATATATTTTATATAGAACACACATTATGTCATCATATAAAATATCTATAAATGACAATGTGTGTTCTATATAAAATATCTATAGATGACATAAGAATGTGTGTTCTATATAAAATATCTATAGATAACATAATGCATGTTCTATATAAAATATCTATAAGAACACGCATTATGTCATCTATAGATATTTCATATGGAACACGCATTATGTCATTTATAGATATTTTATATAGAACACATTCTTATGTCATCTACAGATATTTTATATAGAACACTCATTATGTCATCTATAGATATTTTATATAGAACATGCATTCTTATGTCATCTATAGATATGTTATATAGAACAAGCATTATGTCATTTATAGATATTCTATATAGAACATGCATTCTTATGTCATCTATAGATATTTTATATAGAACACACATTCTTATGTCAGTTATAGATATTTTATATAGAACACGCATTGTCATTTATATATATTTTATATAGAACATGCATTATATCATCTATATATATTTTATATAGAACATGCATTATATCATCTATATATATTTTATATAGAACATGCATTCTTATGTTATCTATAGATATTTTATTTTATCACTGTTTTCTGCTGTTAAATGTTTTTTAAGACAGTTTCACTGCTTTATTATCTGTGCATCTCTTTTCCTCCTTGTGTTCCGTTACTACTTTGTTTCGTTTGTCTAGGTTGTCATCTCTATTCCTGAAGTCATATTTTCCAAACTGCTACTCGTGCATTTTCTCCCATTTCTTTCCGGCAAAAGTATCATCTGCACATTTTTCCTCTTTGCATATAACGTAACTGCTCTTCTCTTTTCATTTATTTTAGTTGATTATCAGCAGAAAGTGTTAGTTTGATTTTAATCTGTCTTTGTAGTTAGTCTGTTTATAGTCAGAAATAAAATACCTAAGCTTTGTGTACTATGTATATGAGAGAAAACTGCATAGAACAGTGTTTGTTTTATTAACTTAGTGTGTCTTATAACGGCTTTTTAACTGGTATCTCATGTGTCGCTTCCGGTCCACAAGGGACTAACTAGTGGCCTGCTGAAGTGAACAAAACTTGTTAAAAAGGTAACTGAAGTAAATATGGGAAAAAAACTGTGATGTTATAAATTAATTTGTGATCATATTTTTGTATCTTGCAAAGCACACACCACAACAAGAGCTCTTTCAATTCATGAAACTACTATACATACATAATTTAAGCAAGCCAGTCCTGTTGAATACTGTTCTTATGGTAAACATTACTTTAAGTAATATTCATTATGTTGCTTAGAAGTGCTTAGAGTAAAATACAGTTGGTATATCTACTCCTAACTTTTTTTTCCATTTAACTTTCTTGAAAAAATAATTGAATAGCCTTGTGTTATAATAAACTATATCATTATTCATATTTAGTTAAAATCAGTTAAACTAATTTAAAATCAAGCAGCTTAAAGAAGCTATTGACAAAACTTGATTTTAGCTATAAAACCTTTAAGAAACGGCATAGGTTTTTATAAAGTATATATATCAATAGATCAAAATAAGGTTTAAGTTATGTTTTTCTGTTAAATAGAATGACTGTTAGTAAAAGAGTTGTATTAAATATTTTGCTAGCTCTTTATCATGATTATTGGTTCTTTGTCTTTTTTCTTTCAATGAAAAAAGCTTGCAGGAACTTCAGAACATGGAATATCAGAAGGTCAAAGTTCGAGGAAAGTTTGACCATTCCCAAGAAATATACATTACCCCTCGCTCACTTCTGAAAGAAGGGGGAGAAGGTGATGAAGGAGGTCTTCTTTCAAGTGGACAGTCTGGAACTTTGGTGATTACCCCCCTGATGCTGACTGACAGAGAGTGAGTTAATAACAACTGCTGACTGACAGAGAGTTAATAACAACTGCTGACTGACAGCGAGTGAGTTAATAACAACTGCTACAGACAGAGAGTGAGTTAATAACTGCTGACTGACAGTGAATGAGTTAATAACAACTGCTGACTGACAGTGAATGAGTTAATAACAACTGCTGACAGACAGTGAGTGAGTTAATAAGCAGGGTTAACAATTGTAATGAAGGTGATTTTTTTTCCTGTTATTTAAGAATATTTTTTATTGGCAGCCACAAGTAATTGATTTTAGAACCATTTAATTACCATGAAAAAATTGTATTTTGGACAATTAATAGATGTGTAGCAACATCAATGAACTTAGGCATGTGTAAATTCTGACATTTTTCTAAAACATTCTCTACTAGCTGGAGTACCTGTCCCCTGGACAGAAGTTATGTAAATTCATAATTAATGAAAGGTTATCTTAGGACTTGAAAAGTTGCTTCCCTTATATGTAATTATAAAAAAATCCAAAAACACCCATAAAAACTGTGAAACACAAAATGCAAAACTGAAAATTTGTGTGTATCTCCCCACTGACAAACTTTCATGCCAAATTTAGTGAAGATCCATCAACAGGGGGTGAAGTAGTGGTAAAACACACAAAAACGCTCATAAAAACCTCAAAATGCAAAACTGAAAATTTGTATGTACCCCTGCATGGACCTAATGAACCTCCATACCAATTTTGGTGAAGATCCATCCACACACTGAGAAATAGTTACATGGACATATAACATACAGTACTATTATATTTATATAGATAACATACAGTACTATTATATTTATACAGATAACATATAGTACTATTATATTTATATAGATAACATACAGTACTATTATATTTATATAGATAACATACAGTACTATTATATTTATATAGATAACATACAGTACTATTATACTTATATAGACAACATACAGTACTATTATATTTATATAGATATCATACACTACTATTATATT